AGACTTTTTAAGCCTCTTTCTTTGTATATCTGACTATAAATAAATTGACAAAGATAGAATAATGTGACAGAATTCAGCCTAAATTTGTATAATGTTGGTGCATGACCCTAAATCTAGTAATTATCCATGTTAATTTTAACGAAATAATTATAATGGTTTGGTACCAATTCGCAACTTAATTGAGAATATTAATTTTCCCCTAACTTGCCTTTAGGAGCAAACGCAAAGGCAATTAACTCTTGTTAATAAGAAAATAAATTATAAGTACCTAGAAGTGTGTACTACCTTAACGCAGTAATTAAAACAAAATAATATACAAGATTATATGACCTACTTCTGTAATTATATTGACTTGTTTTTATAGAAAGTCATCAGCACCTATTTTATCAGAAAAAATGTATTAATAATATAATAATAAAAAACGACGGGTTGCACTCCGGGAGTGCCGGCAGAAGTGAAAACTTGAATATTAACGTTGTGCATTTTTGATATTTTGGAATGGTTAGGGAATAATTTTGAACGAATTGCTTTAATTATCAGTATAAAAGTACTATCATGTATGTGGTAGAATACAATATTTATTTATTGCGCTATCGTACACAAACATGAAAATTTATATTACATTAAAAAAGTTTATCGCTCAGAAAAATCAACTTATATGAATCACGTTTAAGCGCACTTAGCGACATCTATTGTAAAGAAATTAACTTACATGAATCACATTTAAGTGCACCTAGCGACATCTATTGTAAAAAAATGCATGTTCTTCGCAATAAAGCTGCCACGTGGACGTCCTAGATAGAGACATATTATTATAATACGATAAAATAGAATATTACTATGTTTGGTCCAATATATTGAAAGTCAACAAACCTTTCCAATTTTATTGTGTGTCATGATGCGATCCCACGTATTTAACCTGACGCGAGTTTAACATTTTGTACCCATACAAAAAAAAAATTACAACGCCGCTAAAGAAGTTTTCACTTCAATAATAAAACAAAATATCATTACTATTGAGTTCAGGCAGCCAGAGGGTTACGTTATGGTTTTTTCTTTCTGTCTTTTTTAGTCTTTGCATTTAGTGTTAATTTATTTTGAATACATTGTTGCATATTGAAACTCTGAATGTGAGAGCTGTGGTGCCTTTGACCGTTATTTTGAATTGAACTAAACCAAAACATCTCGGATTTCTTTCTAAACTTCAAGTTGGAATTCAACAAAGTATGTATTGAAACAACAATGTATCGGAATTGTGGCTGCATTGTGTTGCTTTCTATTCAATTTCGTTTCATTTTCTGTTCAATTTTGTTAAGCAAGATCACTATCGAGTCCATGCTAATCACCATTCACATGTATACCCCTGGCGAACGCTTCCTAAGCTTCGATTTTAATATTTGCTTTGTCGATACGCTTTACAATGTTTTCAAGTTTTTTTTCCTAGCTATAAACCTTTATCTCCGTAGTAATAACCTACCTAAGGATACTTAAGAAATAGTATGAAAATCATGTTTGTGTAATTTATAGGTATCTTTAACCAACTCCAAGAAGAGGAGGTTCTTATTTCGGCCGGTATGTTTTTTTATGTAACTATGTACACAATGCTCACAAAATAAAAACTCATTATTTTTTAGTTTTACCTAGTAGTTTTCATTAACTCCCATCGAACAAAAGAACCATTCAAATCGGACGGATGAACGTCTTTCAATCTTGATTTGACCGTGGTCAATCAGAAATGAAAATCTATTTCATGTTTAAATCTTGGCCCCGCCCGAATTCCAAATCATGAACCAGATATTATTACTAAGGTACTCTTTAGTTCCATTTAAATTTTGAAGTTGGTTTTTGTTGATACAATACTTTAGTACCTACTTTTAGTTAGGTGGTATAAAACAAATTTTTATTAGAAAAACAACCACTCGGCCCGTTACAGACGGGATCGAATAGCCCGAATAGAGGGAGATATGGGTTCGAATCCCGTCTGTAACTGGACTGGCTAGATTTTTTGTAGTAAAATTTTCTTTATATATAAACGTCGCAGTAGCAGTTAAATGCATAAAATAAAAATATGATAATTACCTACTCTAGTGAGACTTAGGCAGAGAATGGTGTCGATTCTGGCGTGATTCTCTAAACTTAAAACTAAATTTGACATTAGTCTCTCCTTTTTATTCTGTAAAGAGAGCGAAAAGGATGCACTGTTGTCAAATTTAAATTTAGCTTTAGAGAATCATGCCAGAATCGACATCAATATAATTGTTGTGAGGGAAACAGATTTTATGTCACTACCTACCTATCTAAATACTTGGAAATAGATATTATAGAATTATTAACGCGGTCAATCACTTTCGTCACCAGAAGAGGTTATTGATTTTATTTTCCAAAAAGAAAAGAAAGAAGTTCCAAAACGTGACCGCCCTTAATTTATACCTGTTACTTTCTTTGAACTACAGTTTTTAGGACTCCGTTGTCACCCTTGTGACCCACAGAATCCTAAAAACTAGTTCAAGGTAAAAGTTTCGCGTTGCATTATTAATAATAGATATTGTACGTGTTAAAACGCAAACTTTAATAAAGGTCTTCGTACCTTTCTTTATGATGTGTTATGTGCTTATAATACCTACCTAAATACGTTCGCTCGACACCTACAAATACAAGTACCTACCAAAGTAATAGGGTTCCAAAACAGAATCCAGCCAATAAAAAATCGATTTCAAACCGGCAGTCATATCACAAAATTGTGAACGGCCAGTTTTGTCGCATTCGCATACAACGTACGATTGCACCCAATAAGAGGAGACAACCTTTCCGTCCACTCTGGCTCGGCGATATTTCCTCATGCAAATGGAGTCATTCAACTGAATAAATGATGGCAGTATCGAGAGGGACTTAGGAAAGTATACGTAGGGATTATAAGTAGTCATGCGTATAGTTAGTATATTACCTACGCTACGGCTAGAGAAATAGCTCATTCATTTTCTTTCGGTTTCCAAATACATTATTAAGGATCCGTTATATTCTTTAGATTGACTTTCTTGGGGTTATTCGTGCTTTATTTCTATTTATTACTTTTTATTGTCTTAGTCGCTAACTTAGAATAATTACACTAATAAGAGTAATTCTGAGGCGGATAATGCGGAGGAAATGACGGATGTCCGAATGGCGGCGGTCCACTTGGCGGGAATTGCGGTCTGAAAGATGGAGATGGAGGTGTCCATGGCGGTGGCGGTCTTGCTCCTGGGGGAGGGGGCCGTCCAAACCCTGGGGATCCGAATGGGGGTGGGGGAAGTGATGAAATGGGGGTGGTGATGGCAGTGGTACCTATTGAAGAAGGCGGGGATGGCGATGCAGTCATAGGTAGGAGCGTTGCTAAATGAGTATATGGGTCAAAATCATAGAGGTAAGCATTTTAAGTTTTCAAAAATCTGAGAAATTAAGTTTTCGTTTGAAGAAAACTAACAAGTGGAGCCTGTTGTGCATGAACTTTTCGTGTGATGACGCACGCACAAAAATATATATTTTAGAAATTCTACCACCGTCAAACCTTACAAGATTGCCCAACTAAGTAATCTAACTTTGCCCAGCAAGGTACTTTTTACAATATAAAAAAAAACCGGCAACATTTTTTAGTTGCGTCTATTATTTAATCTTTGTAAGAAATTTCAACATGTCTCTGGCAATATTACGTAACTGATTTTTCTTTATTGCATTTCAGTCGGCTGTCAAACTGTTTACAAGTTGGTGGTGTTTTTTGCGGGTAAAAATTAAGTGAAAAACTTTTCGTAAAATTTTATTTATTATCACAGCAAATAAATAAGTTTTTAACCACTGTTAGTTTGTAATAAATAATCATAAATGATCGTACATCCAACGCGAAGTCTCTCTTAAATTCGAAAATATGATGGTGGGCAATCTCAAAAATCGGATATTGTTGTTAATGTGTATATTTTTAAATTGAAAACATTTATTTTTCAAAGTACTCTCCATAAATTTTCTATTGATGTAAATTTCGCTCCGTAATTTCAATTTATTGTACTTATACGTTTTTTGCACTACCTTATAAGTACCTATATTAATAATATCAATGCAAAAGTTAAAATGTTAGTTAATATTGTATAAGCAAGATTTAACTATAGCATTACTTATTAGTGATTTATTTGCCGTTATTGTGATGTTCCCGAAAATGATGGGATATACTGTCCTCTTTTAATCAGTGTTTTCGACTACCATTTCTTTCTATTTTTATCGTTTTCTATGTTTCTCTTACTAAATGAATACCTAAAACCAAAATTATGCTTTTAAAAACATTAGAGCATCCTTTGCCTAAATATTGTCATCTCGGGAACGCTTTATTATGTACGAGAACGTTCCCGAAATGACTATTTCCTAAATATTTTGATGTTACGCTTAACGCCGCCATGTTAGATATTGGTTTTAGATGTTAGGAACAAGTAAGCTGTAATATTTATAACAATTTTGCAAAAAAATATGCAAATTTACGATAAACTAATCATCAAACAGCGTTCCCGTAGTGACAGAGAATTAAAGTACGCTTCACACTTACCAATTTAAAAGGTACTTACTTAGCAACAAAATCTTTTATTTTTTTCCGTAAACACGAAACACACCCTTTGATTTGACTAGTGAACTTCACGCTGATGTTCACTAACGCCACCTCGCATGTGTCCTTTGATTTACATTGATCGATATCCACCGCGTTCACGGAATGATTTTAATAAACATCAGACACCATTTGAATAGTCAAAATATGTAGAAATGGAACTGCTATTATTATTTTTATACGTATATTCTTAATTTGATGATTTTCAAAGCTATTATTAAAGTATGTTAATTTATATTATAGTAAGTAAGTATTGATTATAAACATTTTTGACTTGTTTGAACTATGAAACATGATATAAGGACGCATTCCCGGAATGACGATTTTGACCTTTTCTTTTCTTGTTTAAATTAAATAAAACATTAGTATAAAAAGATGCACAGAACCTTTATTTTGAAAAAAATATTTTAGTAATACCATGTTATTTTATTCATATAACGCTCACCTCTCTAATTTTGACCCATATACCTACTGAAATACTGGCAGATTTAAAACACGTTATGAAAAAAAAAACCTGGGTGTCCGAAATTCCGAATGGAGGTAGGGGGAAGTGATGAAACAGGGGTGGTGACGGCTGTGGTATTGAAGAAGGCAGGGGTGGAGGTGCATTCATAGGTAAGAGCGTCGCCAAATGAACACAAAGGTACTTAAATAATGATATATTGTAATGAAACACATTATGAAAATCACTTTTTTTATTATCTTAGTAGCTAATAAGAGTAATTCTCCGGCGGATGATGCGGAGGGAATGGTGGATGTCCGAACGGTGGCGGTCCACGTGGCGGGAACTGCGGCCTGAAAGACGGAGGTGGTGGTCTCCATGGCGGTGGCGGTCTTGCTCCTGGGGGAGGGGGCGGTCCGAACCCTGGGGGTCCAAATGGAGGTGGGGGGAAGTGATGGAACGGGGGTGGGGGAGGCGGCGGTCCTGGTGGCGGCGGCGGTCCCGGTGGTGGCATTGACGAAGGAGGGGGTGGTGGTGCCGTCATAGGTAATGGGGGTGGAGGCCGCGCCCCCATTGGTGGGCCTGGCGGTGGCATCGGTGACGGCGTTGGCGGTGGCGGCGGTGCCATTAGCACTGGGCCCATCATAGTGGGAGGTGCGTCTGCGAATAGTTGATGAGGACGGTCCGCGTGGGATAGCGGATTTTGCGCTGCGAGCAATCTGTAAATGATAAAATTGTATTAACAATAATCATTACACTAACACCAATTGGGTTGATAACGGAGAAAAGTAAACAACAACGCTGAAGAAACAAATCCAAAATTAACCTCAGGGAGGGAAGTTAGCCACCCATTTTTTTAATTTTATTATTATCCAGGTTGTTCTGGACTGTTCTATGTTTGTTCTACATTGTTCCAAAGTCTTATTAGAAAAAACAAAAAGTTGAAGCCACCAGGCAAAAAAAAGTTTTTTGGTAGCCCCCCATTTATGGAAATTCAACATTATGTTGATTGTTCTCTAGTTGTTCCTAACATTTTTCCAGGTTGTTTTGGGCCTCTGTACCCTAATTATGAACCAATTTCGAAATCGAATAGTTTTCGAGCTGGCAAAGTCATTGTCAAATTTTGTATGGAACTTGAGAACTAAAAGTCAAAGTACACATTTGACGTAGAAAATAGATCGTAATCAACTATTCAAATTCGATAATGGTTATGCTAAGGGTACGGAGGCCCAAGCACTAACTTTGACAGCTCTATAATCGTATCGTTTCGTCAGTTCTTTGAAAGCTTAGCAGCGCCCCTACTGGACGAAAGGACTAACTGCCTCCTTCCAAACAAAATTTGACGATGACAATACTATTAGGGATATATCTGTTCGTGCCTGGGCCTCGAGTCTCTCCTCAATAATGTGCGACTTGGACGAAATGTTATAGGTCTTAGGCAGTTTGGATTTGCAGTTTCATCGGCGTACATTGACATTTAATAAAATAGTAATTTACTAAAATTTTACTGGCAAAATTGGCAGGTACTTGCCACAACATCGCATTTACCATTTGAAACGTAATTACATACTCCAAACTCAATAAATTATCGTAACAACATTCAAATACCAAACTAAAGACTATATTCATGGGTGTTTAAATTAAGCAGCAGTATGAAAGTTAATAAACTTAAGATTGAATAATAATAATACCTTTCTGCAGCGGAACCGTGCCTCTCCCCTTTAACATCTTTCTTGAATGCATAAGACACTGATATTGGTCTATTACAGAGATACTGATTATTCATAGCTTCTATAGCAGCATCGGAGGCTTCAAATGAGGCAAAGTTAATGAAAGCAAATGCCTTTGAATTTCCAGTCTCAGGGTCTCTCATTACCTGGAAAGTATTAATGAATTCATAAAATCAATAATTATTGAACACTTACATGATTATTGTTTGTATGTCATAGATAAAATAATGCATTAAGATTTTAAGTTCTCCAGCCCCTCTAGCATGACCACTGAAACGGGATATGATAAAGCTTTTTATCAAGTCTCAACTGTCAAATTCCACTGTAGTCTGACAGTTAATGCCGATATATCGCTTTATCATATCCCGTTTCGGTGGTCATGCTAGAGGGGCTGGTCCAAGTATCAATAAAATCGAATTAAATAAAAGTTAGCTACATTATAAAAAACTGAGCAGAGCACTTATATAGGATTTGGAAACAAGACTTAAAATTAATAGTGATAACATTGACATGAAAATTCAAAATATACAAAAGAAAACAGTTATCTAAATTGCAAAATGATTTTATAAATCGACCTATGCATAGTATATGTTATCAAATTACTTTTATTATACTTTTAGGCAAAACGGACGCATTATGTTTTACTGGTAAAAACATTTATTCTAAAACTTATATAAAATCGAAGATAGAAATTGAATAAAGGTACATGTGATTTTTGTTTCCAAAGAATATAGAGTCAAGAGCACTAGTACCTTTTGGATAGGCAAGAAAGCAGCCTGCACAGCTTCAATTTTGTTATAAACTGAGACTTTTAGTAAAAAGAATGAAACATTTAGTAAAATGTTTCATTCTATTTTTTTTATTTGCCATATTACCATAATTTGACGCGACAGAACATATAAATTTTGTAAAACAAAGTTATATCTTCACATAATATTGACACGTTTCCCAAGCATAAAATCTGATATATATATATAACAAAGATGTCCATAGTAAATTGTCACATAATCACATAAGATACGCTTAAATAACAAAATATGAGCCGTAAATGTAGTTTTTTTAAACAATTAATGCGTCATAATTTGCTTCTCAATGCTTTATATGATTGGTAAAAAAAATCTAATGCTAGAAAAATACCAATACAAGTTAAAGCAAATTTTACATCTTACAAACTTCAAATCGCTGTACTGTAAAGTAGGGATTATGCAGAAGTAGCTTTGTCCTATGGATAGGTCGAAATATATTATGTTATGACAGAACTTAACATGGCCATATTAATAGCAAATATGTATTGCCATGTGAAGTGCCAGTGTCAATATGATGGGAATCATACATACCTTTGGAGTCTGCAAAATGACACCAAATGCAGAGAATGTGTCATAAAGAAGTTTCTCGTCTACTTCGGGGTCTAAGTTTCCTATGAACACATTGGCTCCTACGTCCAAATTCTTCTGATGGGCTGATGCCTTATTTACTCTGACCGGTTTACCATAGAGTTTTATCATATTCATCACCTGAAATGTAAAGGGATTACTTTATGATCCCTTTTCTTTCATGTCAAGTTTAATGAAATTGTTCTTGTATTTTTAATAAATAGATGGTGTTTGTATATCAACCACTAATGGGTGCGTGTAACTTTGTCTGTGCAGAATAATCTATTTTAATAAATATAAATTACAATAATCCTCTTTTATCCCTATTAACAAAACTAGTCTATGTGTCTTACTGAATTCTCTTTTAATTCCTGGAATTAGTCAAAAACAATTTAGCAGTTTAAAAGTAAAAGTGTAACAGACTAAGTTACTTATGAATTTATATTTTTTTTTCACCCCTCTTAAGGATGCCAAAGTACCTCTAAAGAATAAAAAAGGTAGACTTCTGAAGCTGTTAACTTTTCTATGGAGACAGAAAAACTTTATCAATATTTTGTAAAGTCTTGTGGACTGGCAACCACAGGGCACAGTTTGTTTGGGCTTAAACAATATTTACGAAGGTTTGGTCTGTATGTCTGTGCAAGTATAGTTCTTTTACTTTAAATGTTTATTTAGCATTAGTCTATTTAGTAGCTTATAGAACTAGCTAACTATAAGTTACTTCACTTCCAAGAGTGGCTTTATGCCACTATAATAAAAATCTTAGTTATGTGCATAAGTAAATATGGAAGTGGTGGTGGTATTCAACTTTAAATTCGTTAAAAATAGCACAATGATTGCAATTTAACTGAGAAAATATTAACTATTACCTTTATTGCATAGTCAGCATCTTCTTCACCCATAAATTCAACAAAGCCATAGCCTTGATGAGTTTGTGTCACACGATCTTTGGGCATATGCACATTAACTGAAAAACAAATGTAAATATATATATTCCAGTCTTATCAACCAATATAATACTCTAATTAGACCCTTTTATTCTACAGATTAGATTACAACCTCTGTAGCCGAGTGGTTAAAAACGCTGGTCATGGCATCGCCTACTCAGAGGTCCCGGGTTCAAATCCCGATTCGGGCAAATGTAAGTATGGCAAATACAGGCATTTGTACCTTAGTCATGGATGTTTATAGATTTCTAGATAAAATATACTTATATATGTATTCTATCCATTACCCTAGCAGCCCATAACACAAGCCTTACAAAGCTTACTTTGGGGCTGAGCTTATTGCTGTGTGTGTATGTGAGAAATATTGATTTTATTTTTATTTAAATGAGTCTGCTTTTAACTATATTACTATTTTATTAACAGAATCACTGTATTTAACTTTAATCTGACATTATCTGCCTGAACTGCATAACTATGAAGCTAAGTATCTCATTGGTTTGAATACCTAATTAAAGACTAACAACCGAAAGGATATTAAATCAAGTTAGCATACCCACTGGTCCTGATTGAACGAAGAGTTCCCAGAGTAAGGTCTCCGAAACCCTGTCATCAAGACCGCCAACATAAATAGTGGCATCTGTAACAATAAACAAAAAATATTATACATGTACCTATCTATTGAAAGTTTTCAATCGTGTTATTCGTATTCCACAAGTCTTATACAACATTCGCAGAATTTAGTTGAGAATTAGAACTATTGAAATCATCTTCGGAATGCGCGATACAATAATTTATTAACCACTCCAGTTCACAATTTTACAAACATAACCTAGATACCTACTATCAAAATAAAACTGGTAGGTAAGGGAAGGTTACTGTAACTTCATATAAGAATTGTACCTTTATTTAAAATGTATAAAAATACAGGAAACTGTACCTTTAAAATATTATTTACATTACCTTGGTTTCTTTCGGCAATCGGCCCCGCTGCCATTTTGACATTATTTGTCAGGCTGTCAAATCTGCCATTCTTTCATTCGCTTTTTTTTAAGCTTACAGCTGTGAATTTCTCCATTTTTAAATCTATATTAACAATTGGACAAAATTTTATGTTTTTCCAGGTAATAAACAGGCTGGCGGCGTTTATAATACGTTCGAACATTTTAGATAACGAGGTCAATATAGAGATAGGCCTATAATTACTAACGCAGTTTCTGTCACCTTCTTTATAGATGGGATATATGATGGACTTTTAGAGCATCAGGGAAACCACCTAAGTTAAAGCTATTGTTAATGATCAGCCCCCGTAGCATGAGCACTACAATTTACATTACCTATTGCACGTTTTTTATCGTGTCTAACTGTCAAACTCTATAGTAATTTGACAATTGAGCGTGATAAAAACGCGTTATATATCATATCGCGGTGCTCATGCCAGGGGGGCTGGGACAGTATAGACGAGAAAGTCTTAGCTGCCAACTTAAGAAGAGCAGATGTTATGGAATCCCATCCTGGAAAACAATAGGGTATTTGACAAGTTTTAGAAAACGATCTCACGTTATTGACTAATGTTTATGGAGTCCGTAAATTGGTGGATATTCATCGTTTTGTTGTGTATTTCAGTAAAAATAACCAAATCAAAAACTCCATTTACAAGTTGCTGTGAAAACGTTTCTCTGGACAATATGGTGTCTTACTAGTGTGTGACGTCATACGACTGTTATTAAAACGTCAAACGATACAATGTAATGTCACTTTTACCGTAAGTTTACTTGCGTGTGACGTCATTTTAGGCTCCGCCAATCCCAAGGGTTTTTCGTCACGTGACAATAGATAAGAAAACATTTATCTTTTTCGTGGGTTTTTAGTAAAATTATGAATATTTTTTTTTGTAAAAATAGTAAAAACCCTTGCCAATTTTCATTCTAAACATAGATGCTAACAACTGGCACTTTATTTTTAATACTGTCAAATACCTAAGCTTTAACTTTTATATTGCTTTTTCTACTTAATTCGCATTCGTCTCAAGAAGCACAAAAGATTTCAGAGGAGGTGATATTTCAGAAGGGAATTGGATTGCTGTTTGGTTGTTTCTGATTTTATCAGCTAATTCTTGTCCTACGTTCGCAAAGTACTTATTTACAAAATAAAAGATCTTGCATGAGTATTTTTTTATTTATTTATTGCAGTTGCTGGCTGATCCAGACTCCTCGCACCCGATCACAAAGGCAATACAGGGGAACCGGATCCAACTTAGGGAAAACAGAAAAACCGTATCCCTGTATTGGATCAAAGCCCACGTCGCGTCAGTGTGGTCGGGAACAAGAAAGCGGATGAACTAGCGAAGGTAGATGCTTTAGGGTTGAAGTGTAAGTCGCACCCAGGTCGCGCTAAGGGACTCTGTGAGTCGCACAATGACAGCTGCCCCGTCACTTTTGTCAAGCGAAATTTACGCGCAGTGTTACCAGAAAGCCATTTCACCTTCCCCCCAAAACTTACAGTTTGTCTATAAAGTCGTGACATGAATGTTTGAGGAACTAACATTATTCATGTGTTCATTTTTTCATTCATTTAATTCAATTTTGTTCATTCATAGCAACACCAAACTTATGTACATCAGCTGTCATCGAGTTTCAGTTGTGGAACAGTTTTCCTTTTGTATTTTTTATTGTTTGGATTAAACTGTAATAAATTAAGACGAAACTACGCAGAAAGGTATAAAAATGAGTAAAGTAAATCGGAGTGGCACGCGGGAAGTGATTTTTAAAGTTTTTCATCGATGTTTCGAAGACTACCAAGCTGGACGAATTTTGTGGGATTTGGATGATGTTTATGGGCGAACAGCATCTATGACGGGTATGTAATCGTGTAACTGTTTATTTGTAATCTGTCTGAAGTTACAAATTTATTCAATTTACGATTTTGATACCAAAAAAGGCATTGTTTACATTGCACATTTTTAGGTTAGATTGACATTGACACTGTAAATAGGTAATATTGTAGTACGAGCATTTCTTTTGATACGTTATTATGGTTCAACTCGGTCAGGTTTTCTACCAATTTTTAATTAATTGCTTCATGTCAATAAGTTATTGTTTCTATTCCGTAACATATTTTTTTACTTTTTTTTCAGGAAAATCAGAGAGTCGGATTGTCAACGAAGATTTTAAGAATGATGGAAAGTTTGAAACTCCTGGGAAAACAGACAAGGCCGACCAAAGAAAGAAATTTTCACATAAAGAACCATGGGCAGATGCTTTTAGTGAAGTTACCTATCACTAATTTTACTAACTGCACATTTACAAATTGTTTCTCTAAATAAACTTTTTATATACTATAAAATGATTTTTAGTATTATTTTCTTAACAAGTGTGTTAAAAAATGTCGTATGATGATACTTGTGTATATTGATGATTACCTAACGGTCCAGCTCAATTGAGTCCAGAGCTTAATGGCACCTCAGCGGTAATCACCAACATTACACACTTTTACACTATAACGTACTATTTTATCTATAATAATTTTATTCTGATTCAATTAAATATGCTTGGTTAAACTTTTTATAAGCATAGGTACCTACTATATATAAAACAGAAACAAAATACGACTGTATAGTGTGTCTTATTAATTACCTATTTTACTCTAATGAACTGCTAGTATCAAAATCATTTTGGTCAGACTGTACAGGGTTGCTACATGTATACTAGTGGCGCCATCATTTAATGTCACGACTTTATAGACAAACTGTATCTGAAATCACCCCAAAATACAGGTTTTTGAAGAAAAAAACCCCCAACATGCAAAATATTTATTAAAAATACAATATTTACTACATAGTATGTATTTTTGCAACAGTAATGGATTACTGGATCAACATCTTCGCATGCGTCGTTTTTCTCACTCCTTTATTATTTTTCTACTTATCTTGTTTTATTAACACTATTCTTTTACTAAGCTGCGAATATTAAAAGGACCAACGAAATTGAAATTGACAGTTCAGTGGCCCGAATCTGGAATGATGCTCGAAGCCTAATAAAATTAAATTTGACAAAAGTCTATCCTTGCTATGCTCTATACAGAATGAGAAAGAGAGACTGTTGAAAGCGACTTTTTACAGATTAAAAGTTTATGAAGTGGTTTTATTTTTGTATAAAGAAACCGGCCAAGTGCGGTTCGAACTCGCGCACCGAGGGTTCCTTACAAACTCAATTGAATACCTCTTCGCGTTCATGAGAAAAGAGGTAGTGACTTTAAAATTTACAAAAATATTTTTTATAATATGATGTTATTAAAAATATACAATTTTCGGAATTTTCCCTTTATTTGTGCTATAAGGCGTTACTTCATACAAAATTTCAAGATTCTAAGTTCACGAAAAGTACCCTGTAGGATTGGATTCCCGTGCGAGTTTCGCAAATTTACGGCATAAACGGCTGTATGTTTTGATTGCTTTGGCTTAGAAATTTGATATTTTCACAGCTTCAAGGGAGAGTAGACATGAGTATTAGGTATGAATTTCAGTTTGATACCTCCATGCGTTTCTGAGAAAAACGGTCTTGACAGACGGACGGACGGACGGTCAGCAAAGTGACCCTATAAGGTTTCCGTTTTTCTTTTTGAGGTACGGAACCCTAAAAAAACCCCCCGTTTTCCACAAACTCAAATTTCTTCCCCCCATGAATCCCCCCAAAAATATTTTCCCCCCAATTATCCCCCCATCGCTTAAAAATCCCCCCACAATTGGGGGGAATCCCCCCAATCTGGCTTCAGTATTTACGCGCTGAGACAATCGTAGAATGGGGCAGACGTTACAGGGGAGAAAACACGGCGGCCACAAGGGCATTTTTCCCTTGCGTGGGAAATTCCTTTGGAATAGTAAGGAAGATTGAGATTGCTGCTCAGATATTCACGGGGCATGGAGGTTTTTCCGCCTAACTCCATAGATTTAAGAAGAATTTAATAAGGGTCAATGCTTTTACATAATCTGTGAATTCAATTAAGATGCTGGTTTACAACTGTCAACTGTGTTCTTAATTTAGTTAGTTCGCAATTTCAGAATACCAATTCTCTAAACCTAAACTAAAATTAGCTCTCTAATTTTAAGTTTAGGTTTAGAGAATGGAACGCCAGAATCGGTCCCACTGTATTATTATATCACTTCCATACATTTGATCGCACATGTTAATCAATCATCTTAAGATTTTTCTTAATTTGCCTTATAACTTTGACCAAGTAGATTTTTTTCTATTATATCTCTTAAGAAATTTTTAACTAGAAAAATTGAGTAGATTTATTTAAGTATCAGGTAGGTTCAGAAAATAAATCTAAGATAATAATAAGATAAGACAGAAACTCGGATAATAATGAAATGTATAGAAATTACATAATTATATGATAGTACTTTTTAACAAATATCAAAGTGTTTTAGTCGATGTATAACGGGGATACCATGTTAGCGACGGTAGCGACCTCCTTTTTTTCATGACTTTATTGACTGACTGTAGTTCTTTGGATTTAAGTCACAGCTACGATTTCGATAATAACTATCACTTTGTAGCACAAGTGTTGTGCCCTGAAGAGAAGGAGGGAAAGATAAAGTTGCTTTTGGAGCGTTGGTATTGAACGCACTCCTTGCTGTCACTTGCACCGTCATTACTTCATTCATTCATTCATTTCATATTTCAGTTGAGGTTTATCTTGGGTTCATCTTCATTTTTCTCCTCGATTCGATAGACGTTTACACGCTGTTTGTTTATTCCAGACTCTGCTGTTGTATTTTTTCATTTCATTTTGATATTTTATAAACAATGCAAAGTGCCTCGGACGTGATTTCGTCATTATTTTGGTTTAAAGATGACGCTGAAAAGGAAGATCAAGAACCACAAATAATCGAGCAGTTCGTGCAAAATGTTGAAGATTTCAGCTCACAATACGGAAGCGAAATAAGTGTTTCTTACACTGCTTTTAATCTCAGAGGTCCGCCATCCAACTTTCCAGACTACGGAGATTACCCTCAAGCTTTTGTCATGGTAAGTATTCACCGTATTTCCGAAATATTCTTAAGAGTATTCACTAGGTATTTTTGTTATTGTTTACATTAGAAAGTAAATTAAATGCTGATGCTATTTTTCCCTGGTATAGTATGATCATTTATTGATTTATTTATATGCCTTAACTGATTGTAAATTTTTTGTAAAAAGTTCTGGTAGTGAAATGGCAGTTTAAAAAGTTTTTGATAAAAAAAAATATCAACATTAATAACATAAAATCTTAAAAACAATATGTTCCTTGAAGGGACTGTACTTCCAGGGCCCAAAAGTAAAAACTTCACAGTTTTGTTGGTTATAATTTCGCATTTTTGTTGTTAAAAAGGTTTCTGTTAACCACATTATTTAAAAAAATGTCACACTTATGCACTGGTACTTTTTTAGAAAAAAATACTGAAAATTTTTACTTTTCTTATCAAGTGGTGATACTTCTTATCAAGTGGTGATACTTCTTATCAAGTGGTGATACTTTACACTAGGTTAGGTTAGTGTTGTGACCATAACGCGCGAGCCGAGCGAGCAAAGCGAGCGTGCCGCGGCAGCGGCCGGCGAAGCGGCAGAAAAAAAAACTTTCTACAAAAAAAAACAAGTATCACCTTTTGGGCCCTACAAGTACATTTTTACCGGGAATTTTCTAATTTCATCCTCTACAGATTTTAAAATGGGCATGAAATTTGGAATTCATTAAGGATATGACCAGGATTGAGCCATAGGAGACTTTTATACTGAAACAATAACAGGTTCCTTATGGAAGCGGTAGAAGTCAAGGGCCGCCACTAGTTTGATTATAATTTCAGCTTGGTACCATTAGGTATTCATGGGAAAAAGAGTAGTCATCATGACAGACAAATGGAGAGTGACTACAAAGTGTTGTGGATCTCTTATGGGTTCTTTTATCTTTTGCCATACGAAACTAAAATATATCTTACTTTTTTAATTGTGTATTTTTTTTCTGAGATGATAAGTGTGTATATAAATGTATCTAATTATAAAGTATGTTGTTTTAGAGAACTTATGGAACCTGGTGGGATGAAGCTCCATCGGCTCAAAGCGACTATGTGCCTCAAAATAGTGGCCCCATTGCAAGCCAAGATTATGTTGGTGGGTATTTGTTTCTTTAATATTGCCTTTTATTATAGAAGCTTATTTCTTAGATTTTTACTATAGCAGTATAGGAAAAATGATGAAGATTGGGAAGGGTTGGAGAATTACACTGTAGTCTGTTGTGATAGAGAATTCAGCCAACTCACAGAAAGAAATGAATCAAAATTATGTATTTGTAATGCTCAATGGTCTCAACATGATTATTATTGCTGTAGTCCTGCAAATCCTGCAATATAAATAACATAACTTTTATTTATTTATTTTAACTTAATTGCACAAACAGTTGTACAAATAACAAACTTATGCCTTTTCAAATTCTGTCCTAGTCAACCGAAGAGTAATTGTAGCTAAGTCATAGAAGGTGTAAAAAAGAAAAAAAAAACTAGATAATTTAAATTGAATTAACATATCCAATTCTAGATAATTTTATTTGAATTAAATTAACTTTTGACAGAAGTGTCGTTCGAACGCACGGTATATCCTATGGAGGTTTCTGTATTTGAAACCTACAACCCTGGTGCATTGGTGCGGATATGGGCGCGTGGACCGAGTGCCTGGATGCTGCTGTGGGAGGGAGAGCCAGAGTTTGTGGGAGACACACCGAGGATATTCAGCCCACCTATAAGACAGATTAATGTGCCTACGAGGTGAGACATTGATTATTATATTAATAATTGTTTCTAAGCATGCATATGTATGTATATACTTTATAATATTATGATTTAAAAAAAGTATTTTTGTCTGTTTAAGAGCCATGTATCGAAATAGACTGTACATCTGGGAAATATGTCTTTCTCTAATAATGTATTCTTGATTTCTGAACAAATCAGAATTAAGCATTTAGGCCCACTTGTAGAAAATCTGCTAAATTTTGATTCAATTAAATTTAGATTCATCCTTGCATGCTTTGATTTTAATAATGTTTATTTACTAATAACATGACTGAAATTTTAAAATAGAAATTGAGTTTAAATGGTAAATTTGGTTTATTTACAATTAAAAGCATTTTTTTTATTGTCTTTCCAAAGTCCTTCTTCTTAAGAAAATCTAAAAATTAAAATTAAAATTTGAGAAATTTAAATTTCTCCTCCCATATTTTCTCTTCTTATTCACACTTTAATTCTGCGGGCATTATACTCCTCAGCTATCGCAACTCACGCTTGTTTTTGGTGCAAAGATGGTTCGTGGTTTTCGTTTGCCATCCGTATTTTTATTTTCTTTTATATTTTTGTGACGCTCAAAGGTCTTCACTGGTCGTGAAATTAGGAGCCCTTAAACTTTTGTTTATAAAGACATCTCACAATACGTTTTGGCGATTTTCCACATGTTCTTTTTTATATTTTCAGTTATGATTAATAGTTGTCATTGTAAATAGACTTTAAGGGAAAATTTCGTTCGCATATATTGTATTTTTGTACTTGTGAAAATAAGTTGACCAAGTATTGCCATATTATTCGCTAGTGGAGAACAGCGGTTAACCTTTTTTTTTATGCAAAATAGGCAATGCGTTTGACCACAATTACTAATAAACCTTCCCCAAATTAGAGACCCTGTCGTGATTAGAACACGCACTTTACAATTTGTTTTCCTATGCTATTGATATTTAAGACAGACGTCATTTAGCGATATTTGACAAGCACTTACTTTTAAATACGATTTGATCCTATTTGGTCATTCAATTTGGTGCTAAAATTATAACACCATGTTGACAAAAATCATAGTTTATGCTACGCGATTGGGACTAAAAAAATAGTTGACCTGGGCTAGCTAGCCTAACCTGCCTTTCAAATAACTTTGTGCAAGACAAGTGTTATAATTATTTAGCCCAAACTAGCAAACCTGGGCTAACTAGATAATTAGTTATTTCTGAGTAAGTGACCCTTAATTATTTGAATTTGTAACGGTACCTTCGCAAGTAATAGATATGACTGTAATAATTATTAACGTGGGGCCCTCAGAAATTTTTAAGAAACTAAAAAACTAACTTCTATGGAAAAATATTTTTATTAAAACCTTTTCAAAGAACTCTCCACCAGCCTCTATACAAACTTTATGCGTCAGAACCAATTTTCAAAACATTTTATCCAGTCCTCTGCAGACACCTCTTCCTTGGCTTTCTCAAACGCTGCTAGCGCTTCTTCCGGCAATGAAAACTATATCCCTTTGAGCTGATTTTTTATTTTAGGGAATAAAAAGAAGTCACTAAAATGTTCTCGATGCAGATCCATATTTAATGAGACAAGAAAAAAATAATTGGCTCTCGAAAAAATGCGGAGGGAAATTTGAAAATCGTACAGTGGTATTTTTACTTTTAAATAATCGAAGTTTTCAAAATAATTACAAGTGGCCATTGCCTTATGCATAAAAACTTTTTTCGCAAAACTTTCTGAGTGGCCCGGTATATTACTTAAGTTTCGAGGACTGCTAGTAAGTACTAACTAGTTTGAATATCAGCACGTAATTTATTGGATAAAAATATAATTTAAAAATTTTGTATTATAGGAAACTATTTGAAATATTCCTTAGTTAAGGTTTTAGAATCAACAGTCTAGATAACAGTAATCAACATACCCCCAGTATTTGTCTGTTTTTACCCGACTGTGCAATGCAAGAGTGCGAAGCGCGACGCGCAAATTTGTAACGCTTTTTTTGTTTTTTTGTTTGATTGTGTGACTAGAGACCAAACGCGAAGAAAGAAACAACTAAATATTAAAAATTATTAAATGCTTTTGAAGATCTAATTAATAAGTTGGTATGACTAGCCTGACATAAATTTACCCTTTGAGTAAAAACATCAAAATAAATAACTCATTCTCATAATATATACTCTTTAAAAATATCACAAGAAATCGTCTAGAAGGAATTTAATATACATTATTCCATGCGGAATGGGCAACACGAGATACGAGTATAAATAATGCCATATTTGATGATTTAAATCATATTCCATACATAAAACAAATTTCATACTTTCAATATCAATGTTGCGTGTAACGCTGACGACAAAGTGTATTTGTACGTGAATATGGCACACACCAATTAGCATTGAATACTAATCGTGTTAATCCCTAATTAGCTTTTTCTCCGGTCTTAAATTAAATTTAAAAAATAAATCAAGTCTTATGATTGTCTGGGAATGCAGCAAAACATGGTATAAAACTGCAAAAGTATAGAATCGTGGTACTTTAATGCTCTATCCTGAAGGGATAGGCCTGGGAGCGTAGCTGGTAGAACGTAGCAATGATTACAATCAGACCACTTGGGATGCTCAACTTTATTTATTTTGAACTGATTGCTAAAATAATGATATTTACTTTTTAATATAACTGCCAGCCGTAGGCATTACATAAGCAAAGAGTTTACACAAGCAAGGAGGCCGTAACGCTACGGGCGTTACAATACTTATCATCGTGATCCCTATGTAGGTAGGAACTCGATGGCGTAACGGTAACTCGGCCCACTGGCCTGCCTTGTCATAGATAGGTGACATAAAAATTTCATATCCCTAGGTCTCCCATCCCTCAAGATGCATTTTAAATCGGTGATCCCAATTGCATCGGTAATTATTAGCACTGCGGGTGACATTAGGCCCTCGCGGTGAACAATGGCTGGTTCTCCTAATTCCGTACATAGGTTTTTTACCCGATCAAAATTTTATTATACTTAAAACAACTGGACAAAAATATTATATCCAACTACATCGATGTTTTTCCTATACCAACCTTATGAACATTTGTCGAAAATAAATTAGATTTTTTTATCGTTCACTGCCTAGTTTGGTCAGACATATTTGTGTATTTATGCCTTTCGAGCAGTAAATAAGTAAGTCAAGTACTCTCCAAAAATGTACTCCATAACAGTCGTGAAATATGTGCATATCATGCAACTCAAATTTGATAACATCATTGAAATATGAGGAACATGAATAAGTGATTGTTTTTAATCCAAAAATTGTAGACGATACTTCTAGATATTTCTACTTATATTGCCGTTTGGTACTTCTAGCTTTAGTTTTAAATTCAAGACATTGATCCGTTGTTTACTTTTGTACTGTAGAATAGAGATGATAAATTGTAATACTGCAATTTATTCCTTTGATATAAAAACTCTACATTACAGTAGCTACCTGACAGTGATATAATAGGTACCTAATATGGTATTATCGCAAAATCTGATGATAAAATTATCCTAATCTATACAAGACATTACTCGTATATATAAATAGGTATAGTCATTGGCTTGCATGTTAAAGTTAGTAGTTAATAAAAGAAATATTGATACTCGTATATATAATCTTATCATAAGAACAATTTATACTACTATAGGCAGACAAAAATAATATCTTAGAGGTTATAATTTTTATTATTTTTAAAGCATGTAACTGCTTGATGTTTAAATCTAAACCCACAATGTCAAATGAATACTTTTACAAGTATTAAACATTTGAAAGAAGAAATAGCAATTATAGTTATAATTTTTATTATTGTGGGTTTACCTATAATGCGAAGAGATGGCGACTACAAACCCGTGGCGAAAATTGATGGGTCATATGAACCACTAGAAGACCTATTAAGAAAGATGGAAGGACATTAAATAATAAGATTCAGCACTATGCGTCACTGGTAAGCTGTCCAACTGAGTGTAGGTGAGAATTCAAAAGTACAGATAGAGGGAGTACATTTTGGTCATATATTTTTTGTACGGCATTCTTACCACCGATAGATCCATGAAAAATTATAAGAAAACACGTAGTGCCGTACAAAAAACATTAAATAATAAGATTCAGTACTATGCGTCACTGGTAAGCTGTCCAACTGAGTGTAGGTGAGAATTCAAAAGTACAGATAGAGGGAGTACATTTTGGTCATATATTTTTTGTACGGCATTCTTACCACCGATAGATCCATGAAAAATAATAAGAAAACACGTAGTGCCGTACAAAAATAGTGCACCACAAAGTCGTGAAAACTTTTGATTTTCCAATGATTTTCAAGCTAAATTTCGTCATTTGACGAAACACGAAATTAGACGCTGTGCTGCTGCACCGCACGTCCTGACACACATACACGCACACAATATTGGGAAGCTTTGAATTTATTCGAATATTTCATATATGTTGAATATCCACCACTGTCTGCTTCAAAAGCCTTTGGCGACATTTAGCCAGGCTGTAAAACGAAATGAATGTTTTATATGAAATTGTTTCTTTTTCTTCTACAGAATCTTAAGACTGGAATTCAATCATAGACTGTTGCCGTATTACACGGAATTAGACGCTGTGCTCCTCAAAGGGAAAGAATCCTCTAATCTAGTCCGCATAAAGAATAATTTTTCATACTCTTCCCTTTTTTACAAGAAGACACAGCCGGCTGTGGAAAAAGGTGAGTTGTACATTCCTTATGGTATTTATTCTGCTTTGTTATTAAGAATTATTGGTGTCCTTGTTGCCCACTCTATTAATAAGTGACATAATCAACTCTTTCTTAACGGACAAGGAAACGTTTTTATGTTTTTATGCTTCAAGTTCCTTATTATCTACTTTTAAATGAAAATGGCGTGACCGCTCTAACTTAAGAAGGTCTTAGAATGTATAATTATTCAGTTTTTATTTTAAAAAAATTCATGACTATTACTTATTTCATTTCAGCTGTAAGTTTCGACCAACATTTTAAAATATGCTCGCTGACTGTATTTATATAATGTGCCTTTTTAATGTCTAGGTTATTAAAAAATCTTTCTTAGTACGAATTAAACCTGCACAGGAACAACCATCGTATGAGATTTAACGCTTGAATTACGGCGTTTTTTACTTAAATCTACGAACAAAAACGCCGCTTTTTGTATGATGGGCCTGGCCTTTATTTCTTAATTCTGTTTTTTTTGCGGGCGAAACCTACCTTTCACGGTTCATGAGATGCAGCCCTTCGGATAGGAGGAGGATAATACTTTTTCATAGAAACGTTTATTCAAGGTAAAAGATAGCACGAGGTGAAAAGACAAAAGTGGCACTGTGCCCGTATGCTAAAAAGATGATTCAATTGTACTTATTCGATGGATATTAATAGGTTTCGTTTAATGAGTTGGTTATCATAACACGCAAATCTTAACAATGTGACACTACACCGTGTATTTATCCTAAGAGAAATGTTGTCTGACACATTTTTCTGCTGTTAATAAATCATTGGTTTATTGTCCTGTCCATAATTTATTGTATTTTAGCATTTTTAACTGCTATATTTTCATTCATAGCAAAGAAATTTGGTTTAAGGGAAGAATTTTTTTGTCAGATACTGTAAGGACTGTTTGTTTATTGCAAGACATTTTGTCGGTACCTATTCCAATTCTTACCCAAACATTCGACTAGGTTGGTAATTTGAAACCTTTGTACGCACGCAACGCAACCAGTTTTCATAATGTTTTAAAGGCTTCCTTAATTTATGTTTTTGTCTTGGTAAAGCTAATTGGATAACGAAAAGAACCTTTTCGCTTGATTCATCTATTAAATTTTCTCAAACTATGCTACCTATTGCGCTGATTTATACGATGTTTTCGATTATTCGATCACGTAAAAACGTGATCACGTTTTATGAAGACATAATAATGAAATTGTATGACAAATATACACAGTGTGAAGTAAACATCTGGCTAGTGGTATAAACATGCACCGAATCTGTGGGCTACTCTGTATTTTTTTTCTTTAGTGAGCAATTTTTCTTGCTAGCTCTCTTCGATTCTTCTTAGTGTTCAGGTCGTGACCTCTAAGTCTCTCGTGGATAGACCATGCTCGTATTCCATCCATAGGGAAGGCCTGTGCTCCAGCAGTGGAGACATTAATAGGCTGATGATGATGGATAGACCATCGTGGATAGATTTCGCCATCCTGACCTATCTTCTTTCAGTGATGTTTCAAAGACCTCAGTGTTTAGTACGAATCGTATCTGATTTAGTCAGAACCAATGTATTGGACTTCTCCCTCTGGGCATTTTCACATCTAGTTTGCAATCTAGTAAGCTAGTCATTTGATGTAATGTGGTAGTTCGAACGCCTATTTTTTATTTATTGAGTAAGTATGTCTAAGAACAATACTTTTACTCAAACGTGCCAACCGTACGATATTTCTGGTAAAAATACGAGATTTCTGGTCTTCCGTAAGAGGTACGAGAACAGTACATAATTGTACGCGATTTTGTCAGATTTTATAAAATGATTTTTAATTGTAGGCAACATGTTGGGGCTGTTGATAAATGGTATCCAAACCAGTCTATATTTATTATAATTTTTATTTTAAGCATTTAAGTTCTGCTAGATTTTTTAATCTAAATATTTTTTTTCTAGACGAGACCAGACCACATCGTCTTGGATATATAATTTACATGAAAATGTTTTTGGTGGGGTGATGTTGTTTTTGTATCCGCACGGCACCGGTGACCGGTGCAGGGGTATTGTATGGTTTTTAGTGGCCCTGTTCAGGGTGTTAGGTAGAGCCCTGCTTAGTTCATCCGGCCTAAGGGCTGGCTAAAATGAGCAGGGAGGAGTCCCACATACATTCTTCTCACTCCCCCGTTGTAAAAAAAAGCGTCTATAAGCTATGCTGACTGTTTACTTACAATCAGGCGGGCAATATGATTAATTTCCACCATTCTGAGTTTCCAGCCTTGTTTTTTAACTTTATTTGTGTAGGTCCCTCCCAGAAACTTATTTCCCCGGCACTTATCGCGTAATCCTCCCAGCGCATTTGGTTTCATTGACGGTGCTGTACGTCCCACGGCTTTCATTCGTCGAGACATTTGCTCCACGCGTTTTCATTTCGGCCAAAATGTTGAGCCCGCTTTCATTTAAGATGCGTCACTTGTTTAATTACATGTATACGACTTTCTTTTGTTTTCGAAGTAATTTCTTTGTCTTGTGGACCGTCATTGCCACTCCAAACCTCCTCCAACCAATCAATTTGCTCTTTACCATGCCACCCTTTATTAAATAAAATAATGATTGTGCACGCTCAAGATCAAAGTTGGCATCAATAAGACGAAATACACGAACGACGGCTTGAACTGCAAGTTTTAATTGCTGTTGTAATTGTTTTTATTGTGGTAAATAAACGAACAGTGAAACGTTTCAACGTTCATTGTTTATGTTGCATGCAAATGCTTTGGGTAGATTACTGTGTCTTAGTAGCTACATAAGTGTTTTAAATCACAATTATCGTGAGAAAATTAACGAGAGAGAAATATTATAGAATGGAGAGAAAACGTAAGCTGACGAAAACGAATAGATTTATGGTGGTGGTGCTCATGCTACCCTCGTAGCATAAAACGTGGTCAAGGTAGGATACGTGAGCGTGGTATCGCAAGCTTCTATATCTTCTATAGGCTATGGGCTCCTATTACCAGCATGCTAACTCAGTGGCTATTTGTATTTCTTATTTATCATTTTGATAGCAGGGTGTCCTCATCATGCTCTATAGGGAGTGAAAAAGAAAAAGTGTTGTAAGTTCACAAATAGTAATTACCCAATAGCCATGTGAAGTGCTGACATTACTATCAATGTCAAGTTGTAAAATAATATCAGTATTCCACGTTAATAAAAACATAATAACGACGTCTAATGGTAGCTAATAGTTGAATGTTTCCAAGGTAAGTGTTGAATTGGCAATACAGAGTTATCGATTTCAAGCGATATTATTGCTCTATTGGCAGTGGCGGAAACTTGCCTTCTTCCGGGTCATTATTATTAATTATTGTCTTTTATTAAAAAAAAATACGCACTTCGTTGACTTCACGTTTTTTTTGCAAATCTATTCAATGACACGAAAAGCTTTTATAATATTTATAGGCTATGATATCTCATATTTATTGAAATTGACTGAAGTCAAGTACAATTTTGATCAAAATGAAAAGTTTCCCACTTTAATAACTACTTGTGATGAATAATATGTTAATTTTGTTAAGGAATAATTGATTATACCAAAAAAAAAAGGTTTTAGTTAAAAAAAATATTTCTATTCAAACATCTAGCAGTAAATGCTTAAAGAATTAAAATTCAACTACAATTGCTATGCCATCTTTTAAATGTTTATTACTTGTATAGGAATTCATTTGATTTATTTCATGAGAGTTACCTTCAATGCGAAGAGATGGCGCTTCCTTGCAGCCTAAGAAATACTAGAAAATATCGACAGGAACGTTAGGGCCGCGTCAGTATAATGGTCAGTGCATCCGCCCGGATAGTGGAGGGTGCGGGTTCGAGTTCGAGAGACGTTCAACTTTGGTTAAAGAAAATTTCTTACCTATTGAAAATTCCTTAGAAGAAGACATTAATAGTGACATAGATGCAGTTACTATAGCGTAAAACCTTACATTGCAACAAAATTAAACAAAAAATAATTAAACAAAAAACCCACAATAAAATATCTTTAGTTCCACAACGTTACCGCGACTACCAACGGTAACGGCTTCTGAGTCGCGCTAACGTTAGGTTTTTATAAAAAGTATAGAAGCACTTGAAAAGATCGGTGGTTATAGGTACCGCATCATCCCCTTCTAAGAGTCTGACATAACCTTGCAGCCGGCTGTAGGGGCTATGAGGACCTGGTAGGAAACAAAAAATAATAGGCAGTTATCATTCGTTACGTATTTAAAAAATATCTAATAGATTTCGAATTTGAGACGCAGTTTGTCTTTGATTTAGGTATTTTAATTGAGATACATAGATTGATATTTATATTGGTTTTTCTAATTTCCGATATAGAAAATAAAGATTCCTGCTCAAATATATTGTGGTTACTAACTACAGGCAACTAAGGAACCCTACATTGCGCGTGGCACGCCACACTCTTGGCCGATTTTTTCTAGTAAAATTTCTTTAGCTTTAAACATCTAGCAGTTAAATGCTTAAAAAATAAAAATACTACTTCATAGTAAGTCAACCTTAAAAATTTGATATATGCTGTCGCGGACTGTTTTTTAGAACTTTTGAAGGAAAACAATTTATTCATACATGATTTTTGTATAAGTTTAACCGTTTACGCAGCGCACGCAACAAAAGCTCTGAAAAGGAATATTTTTTTCCGTTTTCGCAACATTTTTTATTGATGCTCCGCTCCTGTTAGTCTTCTCATAATGTTTAATAGCCTCTAACCTTCCTCGATAAATAGGCTATCTATCACAAAAGGAATTTTCCAATTTGAATCAGTGCTTCCTGAAGTTAGCAAATAAACAAACTCTTCAGCTTTATATTATTAGAATAGATGTAAAGGAAAGTGCTTTAAAATTAAGTTTTAAATTAACATAGCTTTCTCAAGGTTCGATCAGTTATGAAATACTAACGTACCTTTTCAATTTACCTTTTTTTTACTTTTTTAGAGAAGTCAATTACCTTTTAACTTATATTGATGCTGTCTCTTTCTTTTCAATGCCCATAGAATAAGGTTGTGTCATTCTGTTGGTATCGCAAAGAAAGAGCATTAATGAAGCATTTAATTAATTTGACGTTTGTGTACGGAAATATTATAATCATCACAGGCTATTAGTGTCCCCACTGCTAGGGCATAGGACTTCTCAATGGATGGAATATGAAGATGCGGCAGTGACCCACCACGCGGGCCAACCCCGGACTGGTAGGTGCTAACGATTGCAGATGTAGTCGAGACCAACGGCTTAACACGAAGCACGAGATAATAAGTTTTTTGGTCACCTATCCAATGACCGACCATTGCGACAGTTGCCTAATTTCCACGATCGCGGGCCGAACGCGTTAACCACCTGCACCATCTGCTCTTCATTCTCGGCTGAAAGATAATTCTATTTCTTCCGTTAACATGCCATAATAGGAGTGTATGATACATCGGATTGTAAACTTCAACTGAAGCGTGAACATTACAGGTCAACTACTCAACAAGATAATGGCTTCCAATCTCCATGAGGCAGTCATGACTGTCGCTCTCAAGAACAAAGAGATCGACACGGGTCCACCTCTAGGTGACTTCGAAAGATTACCTGTGAGTCAATTGTTTACTTTCCATGAACGATAAAAAGTTTATACACTTTAAAAAATCCTTATAAAAATATGAAAGTGAAAGTATGACGCCCTTATTAATAAGCTGTGAGAAAATGGTGTACTTTCCATTAACAATAAAAAGTTTGCTACCTTTAAAAACCTGATAAAAATGTGAAAGTACGACCCCGCTTATTAATAAACGAGGAGCTTACAGTTATGCCATGTTTTGTTCATATCACTAAAAAAATATGATTTTTTCCAAAAAAAAATGTGAAAGGGCTCTTAAGGTACAAGTCCAAACTGAACCGCAGGCCGCAGCTGCACACTGCAGGCGACACTACTAGTTTCTATGAATTTCTATAAAATTGATTCCGAGTGCTGCGACATTGCGGCCTACAGCCGCGGTGTGCAGACTGCGGCGTGTAGCGACCGCAGACTGCAGTTCCAGTGGTGTCGCGAACCGCAGAGGTCACGTGTATTTAAAAAAATGACGCCTTTTTCGGATGGTGATGAAGAGAAGTTAATTAACTTTGTTTCTGACTTTGAATATTTACTCTCTAGATAGAGCGTCACCTTGTAAACACTGCGATAAAAACGGACCAGGTTTTACATACTTATGTGCGTGACACGCAAAACAAAACCAATGAATGTGCGCACCAAGTCAAATTGATTTTTATTTAAACTACAATACTTCCGAAACTTTTCCTCTGCACTAATTATATGTTTTTCAATCAGATTAGAATAAGTTCCTTCTTCGGCTCGATAAATAAAAGATCAGGTGCTTTCCTTTTTTTGACATAATATAATAACAACAAGCCGTCATCATTTTACTCTTCTAACAAAAGACAAATTAGTTAATTATCGATAGCGATGTCTGACATTCTGTCTCGCACGAAGGTATTGGAGTGAATTGAGGCATGGTTCTATGCATTGTGCAGCCGCAGCATGCCGCCGCCCTCGTAATAGAAGCTAAATAGGTTTTGTTCATTTAGCAACCATATGCATCACGTACAAGCTATATTTATTATAGACTTACCAGAGGCGCAAGCACGAATTTTGACAGCTCCGTAAACGTATCGTCATCGTCAAATTTTGTATGGAAGGAGCCAGTTTGTACTTACGTCCAATTCCGGTAGGGGCGCTGCATAGAAACTGACGATACAATACGATTACGTGGTTGTCAAAATTCGTGCTCGGGCCTCAGTTAAAGGATCGGGATTGGTCCGTTTATTCACCAGGACGAGACAATACTGTGCGTTATGAAATATTTGGACATGCAGTCCCTTTGTCGATGTGCCCAAATCAACCGTCACTTCAACAGGCTCGCCTCGGACGCAATACTTTATCGAAAGTTGGATCTCAGACCGTATTGGCACTGTATAGGATCACAGGTAACAGATTCTTCATATAAGTATAGGATTAAAATTATATTTTTTAGTTTTAAAGTAGGGCAACTTTTAAATGTTAATTATAGACTATTTTTGTAAATTGAATTTTATATAGTTATTTTAAATTTTATTATATAGACGAAAGACATTAGCGATCTACTTTGATTTCTTTACATAAGAGTTTTGGCTTAATATTCCTTCGACTACGTATTTTTTTTATCCAACTAGGTTCAACTAGAACTTGTTGTTGCAGGTTTTAATGACGTTATCTATGCGGTGCAAGTTCCTCAAGAAACTAGATCTCTCGTGGTGTGGTAGTCATAATATGATACAGAGTCATTACATTGTCAAGTGAGTAGCAGTGTCACTTAAGCCGGGTATCCAATGCATGTTTTGCCCTACACAATCAACAAAAACGTCAACATTTAACAAAACCGTCTAATCTTTTTACTACACATATTTGTTTTTTGCTTTCCGAGCGCGATGGAAAACACGACAACTCACTAGCGGGGGTTGCGTTCCAAACCTAAGATCCGAGTACAACTTTTCGCGCAGACGTTTAAATTTTGACATAAAATGAAAGAAACTTGTCAAATTTGACATTTGCACCTGTATTGTAGTTTTTGAACGCAGCCCTGTGTATGTTGTCTATGACAGCCAAGTAAGCATTAGACGGCGTGTGTAGAGAAACATGTTTCAGAAAGAAAGCTTTGTGTATGTGTTTGGTTGAATGTTTTCAAAAAAACTGGCTGGAGACCCGGCTTAAAGCTTCAATCACTGTCACTGTAATACCAGGTCATGTTTTACTATTTATATTTGAGGTACAGTGACAAAAAATAAGGTTACATCCTTTCGAAATCTGAAATATAAAAAAAAGAAACAAAAATAAATAAGTCAAAAAGCATTCCAATGTAGTGAAAGGATAAAACGTCAAATGACAGAAGAGAGGCGGCGCAAGTGCGAGGGAAAAAGCATGCTGCTCCAACCACAACCTCCATTGTCCGTATTTATATTTAAAACAAATGTAGCATTATAATTTCTGTCTACATTATTCACTTCTATCTTACACTTTCAGATCTGAGGTCCAAGCACGAATTTTTGACAGCTCCGTATGTATCGCATCGTTAAAGTTTTTTTGAAAACAAAGCAGCGCCCCCCTATCGGACGTAAGAACAAACTAGATTTTTCCAGACAAAATCTGACGATGACAATACTTTACGGAGTTGTCAAAAATTCGTGCTTGTGCCGCTTGGCTTCTTTGGTGTTATATTTAAGATTTCTATTTATATGAATGCAGATTTCAACTCAGGAAATGCAATGTCTCCAAATGTGTTTCATTTACAGTTTTCTCAGAGACAGTGGAGCTCAGTTAACACATTTAAGGATGAACTGTTGTAAATTTGTAGACGACTATGTGCTAAGAGCGGTCGTAGAAACATGTACTCAATTGCAAGGTAACTATGGACTTATTTGCCGAGGATTTTGTATTTAATCTAGGATGTAACTAATAAATGGAAAAGACAGATACTGAACAAAAAGTAAGGTTAAAAAAGTAATACTCTAGTAATACCAGTTTTAATAAATCAATTTCTAGTAAAAAATGGGCTTAATCTGGTTCCGTGTTTAGCAACAACAGTGTTTTTTTTAAATACTTGCTGTAAACCGTTATGCCGTATACTACACTTGGTTATTCGTGTTTGCTATCTGAAAACAAAATCAAGTATGAAAAACTAAGTAGGTATGTATCTTACATAGAATTCATAAAGTTTGAGGGAATCCGGAAGGGGAAAATTCAAGACAACTTTGAATCGATTGTAGACATAATTTCAATATTATATATATATATTTAGAAAAAAAACTTCTTTATTCCAGAACTGTGTCTCCGTTCAGTGACCGGTTGTAGGGATTGGATGTGCTTGGCTGCACTAACGAAGTTGACTCGCCTAGATGTATACAGAACTGATATAAATACATCGGCGGCAGTTGCAATAGTTAGATCTAATCCTGGGCTGGAGCATCTTAACGTTGGTAAGATCATTATTATAAGCGAGGTAGGGTAAAGCGGATTTCCCGCTCGAATCGGAGCGCCCGTCTGGGGAAGTAACCTTCATCTTACAAAAGACCACAGTAAAATAACACTTCCCCTTTTTGGTGGAAGTACCTGTTGACTACGGCCGCGTTGTTTCATTCGCAGCTGTTAAATTTGACTATAGTTGTCACGTCAAATACATAGTAAATGTGTCAAATTTTAACAAAATCTAATATATAAAATTCTCGTATCGCGGTGTTTGTGGTTAAACTCCTCCGAAACGGCTCGACCGATTTTCGTGAAATTTTATATGCATATTCAGTAGGTCTGAGAATCGGATGTAATCTATTTTTCATTCCCCTAAATGTTAAGGGTAATCCACCCCTATTTTTTTTTAATTTTAGATATTTTTTTTTATTTTTTTTATGATACAGCATTAGTAAATACATATAACCCTGAATTTTCAACCCTTTAAAATCAACCCCTATTTTTTATGGCGGTACGAAGTTCGCTGGGTCAGCTAGTAGAACTATAATATTTTTACTAAAGTAAAATTTTAGTATGGATGAAACAACGCAGCCTTGTAATTTACATGCTACAATAATAATAGGCTAATTGACAAGTTCTAGAAAATGATCTCACGTTATGAACCAATGTTTATGGTGTCCATAAAAAGTGGATATTTTTAAAAAAACTAAATTAACAATTCAATTTTCAAGTTGCCGAGAAAACTTGGACATTATGGCGTCTCACTAGTATGTGACGTCACGACTGTAATTAAAATGTCGAATAGTATAATGTATGTCAATTTAGCCGAAAAATCATTTCTCTTTAATGATTTAATAGAAAAAATATTTTTTTTTTCGGAATACGAAAATCGCTGCTAATATTTGTATTAAAAACAGATGCCAACAATTGGTACATTCTTTTTCATACTTTCATATAGCCTATTAGCAAAACATGTATTATTTATTGAGATCGGATAATCGGATGCACATTTACCTGGAATTGAGATGTTGGCAAATATGGAAACCAATATTTTATCGAAATAATCCCGTGATTCCGGGATATATAAATTTAAGTTTATACTCCAAGAGATCTAATAAACCCAGTTTAACACAAATGACAGTTGACCTGTGCGTATTACATAAAAATATTGTGTAAGATATCCTTAATGAATAAATCAAATTTTATTCAATTATGTTTTCTTGTTAACCACACCACTATTTCTCTTTCACATTACATACACACATACTTGAATAGAAATTAATATTTAACTTTAAGGAAATTTACATATAGTGATAAGATTTTTCCTAATAGCATGTCTCGAAGTTTTTAAGCACATAAGGATATTATTATTAATGATTGACAGGTTCATGTAAGATGATATCGGCTATGGACGAGGTAGCTATGGAGTTGGGCTCCAATTGTCCCGGCCTCATTTCCGTGGACTTTTGGAAGTCGTATTCGTTGACGGCAAACGGTATAAGAGCTTTGTCGCGCTGTCAAATGCTTCAAGAACTCGATGTGGGGTGGTGGTAAGTAACATTTGTACTATGTTTTTAGTTTATAACAAAGTATCACTTTGTTTAATTTAATATTTCGGTAGTAATAACCGTGTTTCAAAATTAACATTATCTAAAAGCACTAAAAGCTGTGGTATTGAGTTGTTTTTTTAAAAATTAGCTAATAGTCTGCCCAATTTTGCTTTAATTCTATTTTCCTGTTTCTCCAGTAAAAATATATAAATCAAGCAATATCATGCCTTAAAACATTAGCAATATAATTAATTTTAGCTTACAAGCGGCCGCATCCGGGGAATGGATGGCTTGGTTAGCAGGCGGGGAGCTGAGGAAGCTGTTCTTGGGAGCCCTAAGGGGCGTCTGCGATAGAGATCTGAGATCTTTGGTTCCTCGAGCGCCGAGACTAGCACAACTAGATCTGTTGGGAGTACGAGCCGTCACACCTGATATTTGTGACGCGTAAGTATCAAACTTTCTAACCAAAATCATCCTATTAATGTCCCCACTGCTGGGGCACAAGACTTCCCTATGGATGGAATAGGGAGATTGGGCCATGACCCACCACGCGGGCCCAGTGCGGATTGGAGGGTGCTAACGACTGCAGATGCCGCCGGGACCAACGGCTTAACGTGCCTTCCGAAGCTCGATATAGAAGTTTTTTGGTCACCTATCCAATGACCGACCATTGCGAAAGTTGCTTAACTTCATCGTACAAACTTTAAAACACACACTCAAGGCAGTGACTTAACAAATGCAACGAATAGGTATTTTTTTTATTATAAGTTCTTTTCCAGGCAATGTAGGTAGGTACAGTCAGGTGCTTTAATCTAAATTAAGTTTAGATTATTTCATTTAAATATGGTTAGAACATTTGCATTGCAATCAAGTTAAATTCTCCAGAGCAATATAGATAAATATGCATCTGAATGTCTTTCGATCTTTATTAATATAAGATAAATATACATACAGTGGTGGTCACATTATTAAAGACACTCCCTAATTGACCACAAAAAACTTACTTATGGTACTAAAATTGGTATTTAATCTAGTGTTACTGTTATTAAACTATACACGACGTTGTATTCTTACAATGTGGGACAAAAAATAGTGTGTTCCTTAGTAGTTTATAAACTGCTTACTATGGGAACATAACAGACTTTTTTAACGTACTTGTAGCTGGCCAAAAATAAATTCTAGTTTTTTCTCAAACGATTTACAATTAAGTGCACAACATATCATACAGATATGGAAGCTGGTGGAGACCCTACCACCCTCAGTACAAATTTTACCCGTGTCCTCTGATTCGCGCGAGACTTACGTGTTGTAGGTGAAAAAATATTTACCTGCGTTTGCAATTGTTTTTTTTTTCTATTACAGGATCTTAGCGGAGTGCCTAGAGCTGAGACTGCTGGACGTGAGCTTCTGCGACCAGATACACGAGTCTCAGGTAAAACAACATTCACACTACCATACAAATATTATGAATGCAAGCTATGTCGGTATGTTACCTCTCTCTTCACGTTTAAAACGCTGAACCGATTTTGTTGAAATTTAGTATGGATATTTTTTCCTAAAATCCCTTTTACGGGAAAAAGAGGGGAGTTTGTATCATCATCATCATTTTAATGTCCCCACTGCTGGGGCACAGACCGTTAGCACCCACCAATCTGCACTGGGCCCGCGTGGTGGGTCATGGTTCAAACTCCATAGGGAATCTGGATGGAGTAGGGAGTTTGGGCCATAGCGCGGACCCAAAACAGATTGGTGGGTGCTAACGATTGGAGATGCAGCCGGGAGAAACGGCTTAACGCGCCTTCCGAAGCACGAAGAAGCTCGAGATACTAAGTTTTGGTCACTCATCCAATGACCACAGGAGCTCGAGATAATAAATTTTTGGTCGCCCATCCAATGACCGACCATTGCTAAAGTTGTTTAACTTCCACGATCGCCGACCAAACGCGCTACCCACCTGCTCCATCGAGCTGCTTACACAACACAACATCCACACTACAAATATTATAAATGCGAAAGTGTATCTCTCTGTTACGCTTTCACGTTTAAAATGCTGAACCGATTTAGTAAAATACGCGAGTCTTAGTTTTCAAAAACTGATCGGAATATTTATATAATTTTATTATTATGCTTTCACAGGTCATGTTATGGCGTGAGCAATATCCACACGTAAGTATAAAACGCTCATTCCAATCCGCCAATTTGAACACAGCACCTAGCCCGTTGTTCCTCGCGCCGAGCCTGGAATGAGAAGAATGCCTTAAAACACAATAGTTACTAACTAACATCCTTATAGAATATTATAATACAAACAGCTGTTGTACTTAAAGTGCGACATTATTATTCGTTAACTTATTTTATGTTGGTCTCTCAAGAAAGAGATTGAAAAATGGTGATATTGAATAGAAACTTTTTAAGCCTGATATTGTCAATTTAACTATCTTGCTAATTAGATAATTGGCGTATGTTATTCTCAGAATGCTTTATTTTAAAATGATATTCAAATATAAAAAATATCTTGCACGATGTAAAATTTCACACTGAACAGTAATATATCTCTAAAAGTCTAGAGTAGAAAATACTATAATAGTTTTAATTTGAAGCTAATCTTAAACTTGGAATAATGAAATGAATTGTAAAGTCAACGCCTTAAAATCTCTGAGATAATAATTTTGTTCGGTGTTTTGACTGTGACAAATAAAAAACAGTTCATGGGACCAGATCTGTAAATGTAAGTTGCCAGGCTATAAAATATATGTATGAGTAAATTGAAAGACAGTCAATATAATTTGCATAATAAATGTAGTTTCATTCATACATATATAAGATACTATGTCTAGTGATATGAATAGGTTCTAAGGTTCGATTTCAGATGTGAAATATGCTTTAATTTTTATGAATAATAAAGATTCACTATGCGAAAGACTGATTAATGCTAATTTCAAAGACAAAATTTACTAAAGCTGGAGCATTTTTTATGAAATACAACAGAATTACCATTCAAAACTCTAGTTGACAAAAATGCAGCTGTTTATTCTTTTGTAAACTGTAAGCTTATTTTTACGTATAATATATCTCTTTCTTTTGTTTAGAATAGAAAAGAGATAGATTGTTAGGCAACATATTTAGGGAAAGATACTCAACTTCTATATTACAATGAGCCTAAAGTTTGCAGCTAACAAGTTCTTTCCATCTTACATGTATTAAGTAAGTACATCATTTTATAGCATTGCTTGCATGAGCAAAAAGAGAGGTATCTCTCTTTTTGCAAAGGAGAGCAACCATTTTGGTACTGATTTTGTTAGGCATTAAAAAGTAAGTAAAATAAGACAAAATGTAGATTTTTTAGCTAGTGGTGAAACTCAAAAAATAGTATAAACATTAATTTATACATATTTGTTTAAGGATGGGCTTATCTATGTATCTAATGCCATCTAGGGGCGGCAGTCGTGGTCCCGTCACTACCTCTAGCTCAGTTTTGCCTTCCATAGAGATTCCTCCCCAGACTGTCCATGATCCTCCACCATAACTCACTTTCTCGTCAATACAGCATTGCGCGAAACGCTCGTTCTGTCTTCGGTACACCTTACTCCTTCCGTCATTACCGTATAGCATTATCTTGGACTCATCTGTGAAGAGAACCTGGCTCCATTGATGTCGAGTCCAATTTAGATGTTCGCGCGCAAACTCTAGACGGGCTATTCGGTGTGCTCGTGTCAATTTGGGTCCATTGGCTGGCCTTCATTGAGTCGCCTTCTAACGGTCCGAGCACTTACAGCCATTCCGTGAAAGTCCCTGAGCTGTTCTTGTAACTGAACAGAGTTAAGGCGTCGATTTCGTAAGCTACTAGTGACAATGTTTTGATCTTGTCTCGCCGTTGTCACTCGGTAACGAGGTCCCCCGGTTCGCCGAACGAAGCCGCCAGTCTCCAGGTATCGGTAGTACACGCTTTGAACAGCGGAACGACTTATGTGAAGTTGTGAACTCACATCTCGCTGACTTAGCCCAGATTGAAGAACAGCTTGCGCGGCTACTTCAGGTGAAGTATCCATAATTTCATAGCCAAAAACGGTTCAAATTATAGAAAAATAAATAAACTAAACTTTGGTTTACAACAATTGCGAAAATTCAAACCAAATCGACATTAAATTGCTTCAAAACAACTTTCAACAGTCATTATTTTTTTCAAATCAGTGACCAAGCTCGGCTTTTGTTCTTTATTTTAAATTCTAAAATTCAAAGGACATTGTTCTGCGTCCATACATAGTTAGCCTAAGAACCAACAATCATGAAATATTATTTTCTAGGTTCGAAATCGCAAGTAAATGACTGTAAAAACAAAGATTATTGACGGACACTTCTGAGAACTTAAATTATTAGGAAAACTAAAATATTTTTGAGGTTATGTTTAATATTTAATGAAACATAGGTCATTCAATAAAAGTACATACTATGAACTTAGTATGAAGTGAATTAATATTACAACTAATTCATTTTATTCGGTGCGATTTTAAAGAATAACTATTAGGAAAAACTTGGTTAGGAATCATGAATAAAATAAAAACAATAGTTATGCTTCTTATTATTTATTGACTATTTTTCACATAATTGTATCATATTGTATTTATTTGTTTAACACATGTATATTGTGTAAATATGCAGCGTGAATGTGTATCAGGTGCTCTTGAATAATTTGGCAGTATGATCCTCTCAGGATGTTGTGGCACAGGTTCACTAGCACTTGGTAATAAGATCTCTGCACTTTGGTAACATCGATGGCATGTTAGATAGCCGAAATAGAAATAGTTAAATTAAAGGAAAAACAATAGCAAATAAACACACATAACAGGTAATCCGAACGAGAATTTTCCGTATATAAAAGTACCTACTCTTTGACGAGATTGCACGAATGCCACAGATTACTACGAATGCAAACTGCCTGCACCACAACCACAGAGTATCGAGTTTATGCCGGCCCTTCACTTGAGAACAGTTTGTCCTTGTCATGCTTAATAAGGAATGAAAAGGACAGACATGTCATGTTTTTAAATAGCAAATACGAATAGCCAAGTGAAGTGCCGGCATTAGGAAGAAAGTGTTTTTTGTTTGCAGTGCTGTCATAGATTATACACTTAAAATGGTATTTATTGTCTCAGATTATTTATTAACTTTTTAATTTAGCTTACTTAACTGGAAGTGTCCGTCACAATCTAAATACTGATAATTATCACAAAAAATATACTAAGAATTATCATCATAAATGCCAAATTGGTGTTGGTTCTTAGGCCAATTTTAACATTGTCCTTTGTAATAATACATACGGGAAAGACGATGAAATATGCTAGCATTAAAAATGCATAAAAAAAATTTTATTCAATTATTGTATATATATTTTTTGTGTATTGGGCTTTTAGGCCCGGGAATGTAAGGTGACTCGATTCAAGAGTCCGGGAGTGTATTATTTAAATACGACTGCTCAAGATTAAAAAAGTTTTATTTTACTATGAGCGCATTATTTAAGCATGATGACTTTTTTATATGTTGTTCTTTAGACGTTAACAAATATATACACATAAAAATTAAACTGCTAAAAAGATGCGCTCATGTCTGAAAAAAAAAATGATAATGCAAGAAAAGGTACAATTTTCCAACAAAAAGTCATTTTGACTTCAGTTTGTTGATTTAGTTTGTGAGTAATTAAAATAACGTAATTATTTGGACTTTTTATTTATTTTAGTATAAAGTTAGTGTCCTGTATTTTACAAATATATATATATATAAAAACATTTTTGGTCAAATTGGGGTCAATTTCCTTAGCTTATCAATACCCCTCCTTTATCGGCGTATGTGTCCTGCACCAGTGATGTATTTAAAGGCATTTGTAAAACTATCAGCTATTAATTTGACAGTTTGTCAGTCAATTACACCGTCTGACAATTTTTATTGTGATCAATGTTACGAGAATTTCAATGAACGTATGATTTCTAAATTTTGTGATCATATCTTTGAATGATGATGTGGCCCGGAAATTTGCTAAACTGTTTTAATTAGCAATTTTTTTTGTCCAGGATGTAACTCTGCATCTTTAAAAACAACAGGCAAATTAATATGTATTTAATGGGTAAAAGAATCAAAAGGTAAAGCTAGATTATTTTCGTCACTCACTCCTTTTATTAATTTCAAGTAAATCAAATTTTCAAAGACAATAACTTTTTGAACCTACCCCACCCATTATTAGTAATTTTGACAAACAAAACAGAGAGGTTAAAAAAAAGAGAAATTTATTACAAAATATACTATTCCAATTATTTACTCTCATTTTTTCTTATATAATCTTATCTCAAATAAAAATATGATGTATTTAGCAAACTTCGCATTTTGCATGTGATCAGTACACCTGTCTTAAGGCGCCATATTAACTTTCGTTCTTCATTTGACATGTCCACTTCAAAATAGATTTATTATTCTTAAAACTTTGTGTGTATACGAATTGTTTATTAGTGATTATAATTTAATTACTTTCTGAATATTGGATACCGCCAAATATCAGCCAATATTTTATTTTGAGCTTTGGAAGAGCGTACTGAATTAACGTCAATTTAAATTAAAGAAGAGCCTTCGAATATAAGACATTTTATAATGTAAGTATTTTCAGACTTGGTTTTTGTATGTAAAATGATATTATTTTTTCATAATCAAAATCATTTATTCAGTCAAGGCTGTTACAAGCACTTATGAATGTCTAGAAGCTATGTCATCGGTTCGTAAATCTACGGTGGTTACTATCAATTGTTCACCTGCATTTTGATTGCTGTGTCAACCAGTATAAATACAAATACTTAGTGTTTTTTTTATATTAGGTGGAACTAGACATTAACATCTTTAATATCAAAGTAGTTAGGGCAGACTCATCGCCGTTGGCAGCACCCGTTCACGAGCATGACGCATGAACCAACCATCGCTTCCCTCGACCATGTTTTAGGGAACGTAACGACCTACCTCACATTACACCATCGGAGAGACTATTAAGAGAGCATGACTAAAAAATATTAAGGTAATTATTCTGTATGACACTGCAAACACTTAGAAAAGCCAAAGCAAAGCAGAAATCACGTCGTTTTTTCATTCAAATTTTCTTAAATAGATAGATGATGAATCAACTTTGAATACAGCTTTTAAATTCAATAAAGTATCGTCAACACATGATTTATAATATATATATTATATAGAAATACTCGTTGGAATGGTTGGAACAGTTCAAACTTTTGTCTGTGATATAATCAGACACTTTTTAATAAGCTTTCTTAACAAGTGACTTTTTATTGGTCGATTTAAATTGAGCCAGGCTTAACTCTTGAATATTGCTTTAATTTATTGCTTTTATTTTTTGACAAATACTAAGTTTTCATAAATGTATTGTGATGCAACCGTCATTATGCCTATTTCTTTAAACTAATTTATTAAGGATTTCTTAACTTTAAGATTATAAATTGATCGAATAGCCCTCTTCTGCAACAAAATATAGTTTGAATGTCGGCGGCATTTTCCCACAGTGAAATATCGTAAGACATTACACTATGAAAATAACTAAAGTAGACTAATCAGGCAGTTTCTATATTTGTTAACTGCCATTTTTTCATTACAACATATGCTGCTGAACTAAGTCTCTTCGACAATCTATCAATATGTGGGCCCCATTGCAGCTTTGAATCTACTGTGATTCCTAAGAACACTGTGGCATCTACAAGGCTCATATTTCGATTCTTTATATTTACATTAGTTTTTACCTGTTTGATATTAGGTAACACAAATTTCACTTAGTTTTCCCTTTTAACAGTAAATAATTAACATTGAACCAGTGGACTACCTTAGAAATAAATTTCGTTTTGTGGCTAAAGCGTTATTGCGATGCTGGGGCCTAATTGCGAATCTTTCGCTTTGTTTTCGCCGTTCAATAAGTTGTATCAAATAGACACGCATTAGTTCTGAAGGGGATCGACATAAAATTTTCTCTCTGGTTAGTAATTTATGTATCTCAATTTAGAATTAAAAAAAAAGTGATGTAAATAAACAAAGAATTATAATAAAGCATGGCATTATTCTCTTTAAAATAGTACCTAGCTTTACTTAACTTATTGTTAATTAATAATATTAATGTGATGAAAGTTGACATCAATACATGTTGTCAGTTTTTGATGTCATCTTTCAATTGACGACATTGTATGAAACAAAACAGGGAGAAAAATGTAGCCCTTTCTGAGTTTCTTGCCGGTTCCTCTCGGAACAAGGTCTCCCGCCGTAGATTTACGAACCGATGGCGTAGCGTTTGACTTTCACAAGAGCTTGTAACAGCCTAGACTAAATAAATGAGTTTGAGTTTTTAAAATAACTTCCAAGATGACTATTTCCGTATGTTTAAAAAAAAGTTTTGTTTTGTAATATACATTTTGTAATATAAATAATTTACTTAAATATCATTGCTTTTTTGATTTCTTCATTGGGATAAGTGCAATCGTTTAATTCTCCGTCTGATATTAATGTGATTCAAAAATTTACATTGTAATAGTTTTTGGTGGATATTGTTAAAACTTGCTTCTAATAAATACCTTACAAATGCAAAACGTGTGTGTTTTTCTTATATGTTCATAGTTTTACGATATTTTTATATTACATGAAGAAACCGCAGAAAGAAAGTTGTAAGTTTTGAGGCGGGGAAAACGCGTGCGTCAGAATGACAGGTCAATGCGTTCCCGACTGTCACTCCAAACCAACAACAGAGTGATTCACTTGTGAGGGCTGAAATGGTAACCAAGAATTAGAAAGCTAATGGGAAGCAATAAATTCTTGACCATAATTTCAGTGTTTTACACCAGAGACCCGTCATCCTGACGCACACACAAAAAAACAAGCTACTACTGTAATAGAATCCCAGTCGTTGGTCTACTGTAACCAATATAGAACGTGCGGTTGCGCAGTTCCGTATCTACATTTAATGTGCTATTGTATGCGTCTAGTATTGTGATGTGATGAGTCCAGCTCCAGTCAACTTATAAAACTAATAGTGAGTTTATATTCTGTTTCAATGAGTGATGGTCTGTACTATCATTATTGTAAATATGAAATTCGACACACATATAGGATACTTCCATTCCGGAAAAATGATGGGTTCCTGTGGGATTCTCAGGAAACTAAAGTTGACGCTGTCAAAGGAAGTCACGGGCGGAAGCTAGTTAAATTAAAAAATAAGTTAGGTCCGGTGCCTACCTAAAAAAAAACAACCAGCAATTGTGTTATACTGTAGAGTTTAAAAAATTTGCTTCTTAAATTTTCTCGCACTCTTCCACACCAATAATTTAATTAAACGTGTTTCTTTGCTGCTACGAAGCGCAGAGATATAGATTCGAGACGTAAAGAATTATGCGTAATATTACATGGTACCTTTATACCCCCTTAACATGAAATAATAGTAGATTATGCACCAAGATGCAACGATCTTAAATTTCATGGGCAGCATTGAACGCTGAGAGCAATAAAGTATTCGTTCGGTTATTATGTTAAGTGGTGTATAAATATACACAACCGCACCGTAAGTTTAATTTCGAACTATTGTCACAGTCTGTATAAATGCTACAAGATTAAGTATCTAGGTAGCTACTTATAAAGAACCGGAAGAGTGCTTTGAAAAACACATAGGTACGTACTAAGGTGTCTTCCACCATGATATTAAGGTCGTTTCGTGAATTTATAAGGCTACCTACGCTGACGGTTATTAACGTATAAACTCCATTGCTTACTATGGTCTAGTCGAGACTAGGGTTGCCAACCCTTTTACTATAAAATAAAAATAAGTACTAATTACCTAGTTAGTAATAAGTACTAAGTAGTAAAGTTACTATATAAACTACTAACTACTTACTAAAAAAAGTAGGCGAAACTACTATATTCTGCTTAAAGACGACTTTGGCCAATAAAAGCCTTCTTTAAATAAAAACTGAAGTATTAAGTTATAGGGCATCAAAATATACTCATCAAAAATAAAGTTCATATTTTAACAATAGAGACCGTATTTCCATTTTTTCCATCTACTTTATTTTTAGAAGCAACAGCTTCCAATATAACTATATTTAATAGAAAAAAAGTTGGTAACCCTTGTCTAGACCTAAGAAGATTTATTTTTAGAGACAGGCATTAAAAGAGTCAATGTTACCTGCGTCAAAAAAAAGTTTCACCATGTTGCAATTGCAATGTTGAAAAGAATAAAATCACGTTGCCGTTGGTTTGACTTTAACATTTATAAAGCACTCAATTGAGTAGCGATAAAACTATTAAGGTCGCGAACCTTGACAATGGAACCTATACCTATATAGTCTTCACTGTTCGTTCGTCTGTCAGCGGGATTTATCTGTAATAGACAGTTGTAATTTTCACAGTAAGGGTGTTGAGTATGTAAAGCAAGAAATTTGCTTAGGGTGGATGACGTAATAGTGGTGACAGGTAACAGGATACAGGAACAATACGTGACTGGAATTTCTAATAATATTTAAAGGGAATATTTATTAAACTATCATCAGACCTTCCTTTGGCTGGAAAATGTGTGGAAAATTTTGTCAGTACGGATATGTGATGAGAAGGGATGAGAGGCGTGTATCAAAGAGGACCATGAATAATAATGTAAACGAGTCTTTAAGAAGAGGACAATTGAAGAAGAAGAGAATAAAGGAAAAGAACATATTATTACGTCAACCCCAAATAAATTGGGAATGGGACAGATGAGGAGCTCGATGGCGCAAGTGGTTAGCGCGATCGTTGACGTTAAGCAACTTTCGTAGTGGTCGATCATTGGATGGGCAACCAAAAATGTACTATCTCTAGCTCCTCCGTACTTCGGAAGACACGTTAAGACGTTGGTCCCGGATACATCTGCAGTCCTTAGCACCCACCAATCCACACTGGGTCCGCGTGGTGGGTCATGGCTCCTTATTCCATTCATAGGGAAGGCCTGTGCCCCTAGAGGACACATTAAAAGGATGATGATAATAAAATATGAATATAAGCGTATATAAATTTAGTAATGTGCATAAAACTGCGCGGTCACTGGACACATTCATAGTAGATACCTACCTGTCATTCATTTACTCCTCGCTCAACATCAAAAACTTACCAAAAATAGTTTCATTAAACATGTTTTTTTTATTTTGAGTGGTTTATAGAGGCCCATTTCGTAATACGAAAATTGAGTTGTCTTTCTCTATAATTAGATCGGAATATTCACGGAGTCTATTCGTATTCCTAAACGGTGTATTATTCCTTCATGCAGACAAGAAGGCTTTGAACCCGATTTGTTAGTTTAGGCTGATCCACCTGCTAATTGTTTTGCTACCATCATTACCATCATTTTAACGGGGTCTAGAACTTGTTATAGACAAAGTTTAATTACACGGGTAATGTAAATTTCGGAAAGGTAAAGGGAAGGAAGAGGTCGTTTCACATGATCCCATCTCCCTATGTAAACATGAAATTGGAAATTCATTTAACGAATGAATTTTCCAAGTAAGTTCCTTTACAATTATTTCCATACTAAATTAATATAAAAACTTCACAGTTAATCTTATAAGCATATAAAGTTCTCGTGTCACAATTTTAGTTACCATACTCCTCCGAAACTAATTTGCCGTACTGTCGTACTGGTTATTTCAAGTTCAATTTTTCTTTTTTGCAAAGAATTCTAAGTTAAAATTATTTTTATTTTTAATATCTGTTTTAATTGTTTTAAAAATTATTCATTTGTTTGTTCAATTAATGGTAAGCGTTCTCTTTTCAGAAACGCATTTTTACGTTTTTCGTCATCATGGATACGTTAAAATTCGAGTGATTATGGAGTATGGGTGGTAGCGTCGTGGTAGTAATGCTGCACATCTTCTTACCAATCGGGATGAGCTATTCTGCAGACGTGTACTGTGAAGAACTGAAAACGATGATGGAGAAGCTCGCACATCTCTAACCAGCTTTGGTCAATTGTTTGACTGCGCTGCTTCTGCACGATAACGCGCGACCTCATACTGCATAGTCATCCGTCATCCACCGTACTCACCAGACCTTGCCCCTACAGACTTCTACTTTTTCCAGAATTTGGATATCTTCTTAGCGGAGAAATAAATTAATAACCAAGAGGCAGTTCAAAATGCCTTTGGAGAATTTCTTGGCTAACGTCCAGCAGACTTTTTTAAAAAGGGCATCAATAAGCTACCACTGTGTTGGCAAAAATGCATTGAGTGCATGGTTTATATATGGGCATTACTTACTTTGATTAATAAAAATAAAAAATATAGAAAAAAGAGCGTTAACTTATTTCATGAAAAACGGCAAATTCATAGGTAAGGACCTAATATCTAAGTCGAGCATTTTCTCTTAGAAAAGTTAGTGATTTTACTACTTACAACCATTAACGTAGGTACAAATCTGAAAAAGCAAAAGTATCGGATGAAGATCCACGCACGGCTAACCGTTTCTTAATTTATTCTAAGACAATGTAAACAAAGATTACCTAATTCATTGCTGTAGGTATTGATTTTATACTTATACCCACTAGCATTAAACGAGCTTATTTTTTTATGAAACCAGTATGAGGAAAGAGTCGGACGGTGCCGGTCATTCTAGCATTTATGAGATGTCTAAGTATTTTTAGTTTTGTTTGGTTATAAAACTTAGCATAGTGAGTTTCGTGCCCGGTTTGGTTGTGATAGTGATCGGTAAGTTTATAATTACATTGTTAATATAGATATGTATCTATTTTTTTAGGTAGGAGTTATCTCACTGTTTGTGGGGTTAAAGATAACCAATTTCGTCAGAAAAAAGATTTATATGTAAATTAATGTTAAAGGACTGTCACTGGCAGTTGACATTTTTAATTCTATTTCAAGGTGTTGGTTTTTTGTAAGGTTTTTGAATTAGCGTTCTGGTGAAAAGTAACTTCATTTATGTGTATATATAAAACCATATATAATAATTAATAATTCTGCAGTTGGGTAAAAGAGTTACAACTCCTTGTGGTAGGAAAATGAAGTGGCATAGAGAAGCTAATCAACTGTCTTTTCAAATGAATTCTAGGCCCCGTTGTTATGTTACGGTGAAGTCCAAAAGGCCATGGGCCGTAGCAACAGTCATCGAAAGTATCATATATGTACTTCACGTAAACTTATCATATTAAAAAATGGGTATTGACTGATACCTAAAGCTTCCGTCACACATAGCGAATACTCGCTGCGAATGCCTACTCGCCGCGACTATTCCCTGTGTGTGACAGGGGTACTCGCAGCAAATAGCCATTCCGATATACGAATACTCGTTGCGAGTGCATTCGCTATCACTAGTCGCAGCGTCACACACAGCGAGTGCTGCATAGAAATTTCCGACAGTCTGTAGTTGTGAAAAATTTATTATGTTGTAGTATTAACGTGCAGTACAGAGCAGCGCGCTGAGCGAAATGGCTATTCCGTGTTGTCATCTGTTAAACCAAAAAAATCAGAAGCGCGGAGTGTAAAAATCTGTATATTATCTGTATGCTTGAATTTAAGTATATAAATTATATAGTTACTCTATATAATTGCGGTAGGTAGTTTAATGAATAACTAAGTTATTAGTAAAAAGTAAAAATAG